TGCTATTTAACCATAGCTGCGGGCGGGGGGGGGGAGGATTCATACCTTTCCCAAGGGTATTAGTACGTAAGTAAATGTAATGGATTCGACTGGAATTCGAACTCGGCTTTCCGATTCCTCAATCCGAGCTGCTATCCATTACTGCACCGTCCTTTTTAAGCTCTACCTGTAATGATGTTTTAATTGCATCAATTTTTATTTTTTTGTAAAAATAATATTTTGCCAAATAGTTGTTATTATTCTAACTTATAAGAATGACTGTCAACACTCATCATTGTTCCTCTGTTGTAATTATTCAAAATTTAATAATTAGAATAAAAATGATTTTTAATAAAAATGATAGTATTAAAATTGTATGAAAAACTAAAATGTTAGATTGTGTAAAAATTAATATAAATGTTTTTAATAAAACTATTGAATTGTTTGAAAAATCAATTAAGAACACTGGAATGTTACTAACACGGTTCTTTTTCAAGGAAATGAAGCTAGGCGGTTTATATATATATATATATATATATATATATATATATATGATAACTGATGTGTAAAGATTTGAAAAGGAAAAGAAATCCAAATTCATGTTATAACATAATGAAACCAGACGGTTTAAACATTGTTTCAAATTTTTCAGCTTATCTTTGATGTTGTCAAAAATATAGCCAAATTTAAACTGCAAATGGATTCGGTTTAATTGGCTAAAATATCCGATTTTTAATCTATCGGGAAAATATACGTTGAGTTGGCTTTTCATCCGGTTGTTCGCTATATAAATGGGGAAAATTGTCACTGCAAAATCAAAAAAGAATAAGTCACACCCAGGTGAGAAGAATGGGATTTGGGAAGAAAGGATTGACCATCTCAGGCTTGTAAACCTACTGTTCCTACTGCAGAGAAAGCTGTGATCTGGGACCAGATTGGATTGACGAGAAAAGCTGTATCATCGGATGATAAACTGCAGCTGCTGCTGTTGCTACAAAAGAAGAAAAGGTAGAAGAACCCTTAAGAAACTACAAGAATTCTCTTTACTAATAACGTCTTTTCTAAACCTGCGCGAGTTCATGCCATATTGGAAAACACCTGTTCCAAAACCATGGATATTTTATCTGAATTACCCAGAGAATCAGTGTCAGCCGAGTTTCCTTTTTCACCCGCTTCGACCTACAACATTTTGAATTGTAAAATTTTCGAAGTAAATAAATTTCTTCTGTTGCTAAGAAATTGATTTATATGAATTATTGCTCTAAAAAAAGTTGTTTACATTCATTTCCTGTTAAAGGAAATTTTGTTTTCATGAACTGTTTTCTAAGAGATAACAGACTTCTATTTCGAAAGAACTGTTAACCTACCTTAATAGTTTAAGGCGAACGAGGGAAATTTTGTGGAAGTTCAATATTGTATTTTGTACAATTTGCATATTTTAAAAATATTTTTGTTCTGCTAAGGGTTTGTTTCTTTGGAAATTTTTAAAAGTTTCGACTTTTTCATAAGCGCCTTTAAAAAAAATTATAAAGAGACGGAGAAGAGATTTGAAATCCGCCCCCCTTTGTTCTCCTTATTTTTTATTCTCCTTTTTATTTTCCTCTCTTTTCTCTTTCTCATTGTTTTTTCTTTTTAATAGCATGAGTTCAAAGGCATATCAAAAAGCTATAGATAAAGTAAAAAAAAAACAAAAAACAGTTGATGGAACCAACGGATAAGTTGCCAAAACCTAAAACTCTTATCTAGATACAGTCTCGAGTAAAAACGACAATATTGGGGAAAAAAAAGGAAAAAGGCCTAAAGGCAAACTTACCTACTAAGTAAATTGCTCGAAGCCTAGATTGCCTAAACCGGACAAAAACTGCTTAACAACGTTAAATCCTATGAAAGGACGGCTTTAATCTTAACCAGAGTTCCACGCAATCTTCAGACAACGTGATAAAGTATCCTTATTTTCTATCGCCAAACATAAATTTAAAATAAGACATTTGCAGTTGCAAAACAGATTACATGGTATAAAGAGAACATTTTCAAGCAATCGTTGTTTTAAGTGAATTAAAAATCTTTCGAATTCGTATTCATCTAAACAAATATATTTTACATCAGGAACATAATCACTCAAACGTGTCGGATCGTCTTGTTAGAAGTAAATATAGTGTGAATGGTTAAAGATCTAAAAATATGTAAAAAAATATATAACCACCTTTTCCCAAACTTACATAGCTTTTAATACATATGCAATGTAATATTCTTGCCAAAGATCAAATTCATAAAAAATGAAATAAAATTTAAGTGTAGAGAATATTTTATCAAAATTGGTAAAATACTGGCACTTCAGCAAATTATCGTACAGGACAACGGCTTAGTAAACGTTGCTTTGTGAATTTGGTGACATAGTGATTATGAGTTCAATCCCTGGGTAGGACAGTGTGTACTCGTACTCTGTGGAAACGGACGAGCAATAACTATGCAGTACTAAGTAAAAAATAAAACTAGATATCTCTAGGCACTAAATAAAGGATCTCAGTTCAAAATTCCTGTAGGTTACCCAGATCGATATATGCCCGAGGAAGACCGGAGAGTTCAACGGCTGAAACGTAATAAAAGCAACAAAGATAAGGACAATAGTCTGAATATAAATAGTGTAAATACTGATAACTCCTCAACCCAGAAATTCAGACAATACATTGCTTTTTATTTATTTTATTTCGTCATAGTTTCATTGGTATATATATATATATATATGTATATATATATATATATATATATATATATACGAGGGCGGGTTGAAAACCTCATAAACTGTCTATGAAGGATTAATCTTGCATGCATTAATTTCAACTTTTTCTTATTAATAACTGCATTGTTTATTTCCAGGTACACTGACATCTCAATCATTCAAAGAAAACTTCAAATGTAACCAGTAACGACTTGAAGATGGACAAGATTTGTCATCGTGGTGTTATCGAGTACCTGCCGAAAAAAGAGTTTAGCACCCCCCCCCGGACATTCATACTGACATGGTTGCTACATTACAGGATGACGCACCAGCTTTATCAACAATGCAAAAGTGCGCAGATGAATTTAGGAAGGGAAGGAAGTGACTTGAAGATGACCCAAGATCTGGACATCTTGCAACTTCCAACTCCGAGAAAAATATTAATCATATTCACCACATGGTGATGGATGATAGGTAATTGACTATAAACCAGATAGCCAATGCTATTAGAATATCACGTAAGACAGTTAAGAATATTCTGCATATATCAACGTAATCAGTAAATTCAAACTTCCCAGATATCTTCATCAAGCCAACAAACTTATTATGAGGAAGATTTTGGCTCAGTGTCTTCTGACCCATGATCAAAAGCACACCAGGTGATCACATGACGGGGAAATCTGGCATTGTTTGAAGCAGATCCACTTGGTTTTCTTTAAAGTTTCATAACCCAGGGTGAGTGTCGCGTTCATCACTTTGAGCCAGAAACAAAGAAAATCCATGCTTCACACCTGCCCGAAATATGTCATGGTCGTTTCATCTACATGAAAGGTGATAACTTCAGTCTGTTTGGATGCAAAAGGTATTGTGTTTATTGATTGTCTTCAAAAGGACCACACCATTAATAGAGAGAGTACTATGCTAATGCCAACTTTCTGAGATAGTTACGAAACGCTATCAAGACCAAATACCCTAAAAACTGACCAAAGGGGTTTTGTTTCATCAGGACCATGCTCCAGCACACAAGTCTTTAGTTTCAATGGCTACTGTGCGGGAGTGTGGCTTTGAAATGCTTGATCACCCTTCATATTCTCCTGATTTAACTAGCATCTGTTTCCCAACATAAAAAAAAAACACTTGACTGGCATCCAATCTCGAAATGATGATGACATCCTATCTGGTGTTGATGATTTTTGACCAACAGGGTAAACAGTCCTCTTTGAACAGTCAGATGTCAGTTTACCTGGAAAGAAACAATGCAGCTATAAATAAGAAGATTTGGAATTAATGTATACAATATTTCAGCCCGTCCTCGTATATATATATATATATATATGTGTGTGTGTGTGTTACTCTTAGTGAAAAAATAAAAACAGAATTCTTTTAGTTTGTAAAATCTAATTGAGGTCATTTCATGTCAACCCAGTCACAAATTGGCATTGACCCCCCCCATCATAATAGCATATATACATACATGCATATATATAGCTAGCTGAAATTCCCAATATATTACAACTGTCTGACTTTTGGTTACTGAGATACAAGGTCACAAATTCGTGACCTTTTCACCTTTTTTTTATACAGCACATGACTGTTTTAAATTGGTGTAACTAAAAACTATTAAAACCAGAGAATTGATTTTGGTTTCATTTTAAAGCTCTTAAGTAGTCCTTTAAATTGCCTCTTATTCAATATCTCTAATGTGAAAAATGAAAGCTTACATTTGACCTTTAATAAAAAAAATACACCTTCTCTGAAAAAATTTCAAATTTGTCCATTAATCTCTTACGTAATGTAGAACAAAATACCAAAAAAGCTGTAATTGGCTGATAACTCATTCATTGCATAACATAGACATAAAATCAAACAACATTTAGAAAATCGTTATTTTTTAGGTCATCGAGTTTACTTTGAATGAGACTGAACATACAGATAAAGTTTGTCTTATTTTGTTTATTTTTTGTATGTCTATTTGTTTTTAAATTTGCATCCACTGTAGTACCAGTTTATGATAATTTCTGAAAAAAATTTAATAGATTTTTTTTATAAAAAATAATTTTTATAAGGGTTGCTCAGACGTGAATATATAATAAATATAACATTTAAAATAACACTCAATACGATTCACCCGCCGTTTTATTCCTTTGACGGTATCATAAATCCCCTTTCAGAACTCTACTCCTGTAGCCAGTTTTCAAGGGGTCCCACATCCGAAATCATTTACTTAAAGGATAGTCACCTTTTCTGCCCTTTCTAAATTGCAATGGTGTAATTCTTGCTTATCTCCCCTTTCTTTTTACAGACTGACAGTGTAACGGTTCTCTGCCAATCCCTTGCTCTGACATACATTTGCAAAACCATTTTAAAACAATATCTCCTCTTCCTTTTAAACTCACATGCAATTCTATCCAAGTCTGGTGCTTTCCCATTTTTCATCTCCCTTATTTTTTCTTCTTCTTTTCTTCTAGTTTTCTTCGTAATAGTAGTAATCTTTTTCTTCGTGTTCTTTTGTTCTTCATTTTCTTTAAACTCTTTTAATCTTCTAAGTATTCTTCTTCTTCTTCTTGGAGCATTTGTCTTCTTCTTCGCAGTCTTTTTTGTAGCATTTCTTCTTCTTCTTTTATTTCTTCTTCTTAGTTTTCATAGTCATCCTGTTCTTCTTCGCAGTCTTTTTTTCTTCGTATTTTTCTACATCATAGTTTTATTCTACTTCTTCGTGGTCTCTTCTCCTTCAACTTCGTATACTTCTTCGTCGTGATCTTCGCAGCCATTGTATTTTTCTTCTTTCTAGTCATTCTTCGTTTCTCCGTTTATTCTTCTTTTTCGTAATATTCTTCTTTGTAGTTTTCTACTCTGTAGCCTTCTTCTTCTTCTTCTTCTTCTTCTTCACAGTTTTCTTCTTCGTATTCTTCTTCTTAATCTTATTCTTCGCAGTCTTTGTATTCTTCTTCGTCGTCTTCTCCTTCGTAGTCTACTTTGCAACCCTTTTCTTCATATTCTTTCTTCGGAGTTTTTATATTCTTCTTCTCTTTTATATTTCTCTTCTTCGTAATATTCTTCACAGTCTTCTTTTTCGTATTCTATATCTTCGTAGTCTTTCATTTTTTCGTATCTTCTTCGTAGTCTTCTTCTTTGTATTTTTTTTTCGCATTTTTTTCGTTCATAGTCATCTTCTCAGTTTTCTTCCTCGTAGTTTTCTTCTTTACAGTATTTTCTTCTTCATCTTCTTCTTTGTAGTTTTTCTTCGTGGTCTTTATATTCTTCTTTCTCTTCTTCTTTTTCTTCATAGTCTTTTTCGTAGTCTTCATTTTCTTCTTCGTAGTCTTTTCTTTCTTCCTCTTCGTAGTCTTTTCTTTCTTCCTCTTCGTAGTCTTTTCTTTCTTCCTCTTCGTAGTCTTTTTCTTCTTCTTCGTAGTCTTTTTCTTCTTACTCTTCTTCTTCGAATTCTGTGTATCCTTCTTCGACTTTGTAGTCTTCTCCTTCCTAACCTTCATCGCAGCATTCATGTACTCTTCGTCTTCGTAATCTTCTTCGTAATCACTTTCGCAGACTTCTTCTTCTTCTTCTTCTTCTTCTTCTTCTTCTTCTTCTTCTTCTTCGTCTGTCACCATTCACCCTCACCACACCTAAGCCTAATACTGATATGTCCCCTTCCCTTATTTTTTAAATCTATAATCGACACATGTAAGTAACGTTTTTGAATTCTTCTTAGTTTTGGATGATTTCAAAGTATCTTTGAAAGTTCTACCAGTTTGTCCATTAGTAGTAGATTCCTTGACTTGTGTTAAAATAGCTAACTATTCTATGATAGGTAAATCTGGTTGACGACGTTATACAGATGGTGCGTTTGGGCCAATGGGAATGAAGTAATGTTTCTGTTCGCTGATATCTTCTCCATCATATAATGACACCCACCAATGGTGTTCCTTTGCGGCAGTTACAAAACTATGTATTTTTCTCATTAGTTCTGATGACTTTAGTAACTCTCTCGGATGAGAATCATTTAATAAAGGCAAATGAAAGAGGTGCCGGGAAAACTGGCTTGAAATGGTGTCATTTCTGTGTGCCAGCAATAGTTCCTGTATTTGAGCTTTTTTCTTGGAGAAGTACGTTTTTCTCTTCGTGCTCTTCATTGGTTGAAAATAACATTTCATCTTTTCAATATTCTCATTTGCAAAAATAAGAATCTAGAATTATCTAAATAGGCGCGCCATTATGTTAAATTTGCTTGTTATACTGTTATAAAAAACGTCAAAAATGACACTTCAGATACAATTTTAAGTGGAATTACTCTCTTCCCCTGTTTTTTACCTATTTTTATTAATCTTATATAATTTGATATTGAATTGATGAATAAAATGTGTTTCCGGTCAATCCAATTCAATTTAACAATCTAAAAATGTTTTACAAATGTTGTTTGTCTTTATTTTTATACAGTGAACTCTTTGTCAAACAATTGTAGAATTTTGCTCTTTTGTCCTATATTACTCAAGGGATTAATGTACAAAGTTTGAATTTTTTGAAGGAAGTGTATTTGATTATTTTAAGGGCAAAGCCAAGCTTTTTAGTTTTCGCGAAAGAAATATTAAAGAAGAAAATAAAGAGCTATGCAAGAGTTTTAAAATGAAACTAAAACTAATTCTCCAGTTTTAATATTTTGTTTTTAGTTACTTGAATTTAAAAACAGTCACGTTACGCAAAAAGGTGAAAAGGTCACGATTTGATGACCTTGTACCTCCGTAAACAAAGGTCAAATAGCTCTAATATTTCGAGAATTTCAGTTTGCTATTCTGGCAAGTTTTAACAAAATTGAAAGAGTCAGTGATTTAGGTTGACATATGTTTGTTAGTTGTATAGATAAAAATCCTAGATAAATAAAATATAACCGAAATTAATTTAATAAGACATTCTCAAATGGGATTTGATAAAGGAGGTGCGGTCGTAATCCTCAGTATCGCTTTCAGTGACGCTGTCGTCTGCTTCTGTCATTTGTTGAACTGGCGAAAGTAAGAAAGAAAAAAGGAAAAGGACAAAGAATTAAAATAAAAAGAAAGAACGCTGACGTGGAGAAGACTGACGCAAAGGAAATTAAAATGAGAGAAGAGATAGATAGATAGATAGAGAAGAGAGAGAGAGAGAGAGAGAGAGAAAGAGAAAATGTTATCTAATGGATATATTTCAATTTTTATCAGATAAATAAAACTAAACTCTAACAGATTTAAAATATTTATGAGTACACTGACGAAAAATAAGATTGCAACACATTGAAGGACGATGCTGATTTAAATCTAGGTACAGGATGTTCATTGTTCGTGGCTAGTAGATATTCGGATAACATTTTCAAAGACTTTGATCATCTTGTGATATAGTTACACTCATACAAGAGCATGGCTCGGTTTAGACGGTGAAGCCTAATGCGATAAGGTTCATTGCGTCAAAAAAAAATCCAATCCAAATAATAAGTTTCACGCCACGAAGACGCACACGTGCTCCCTTTGGCCAGTTAGTTTTCTGTTTCAGAAATTATGGGCCTGTGAGAGATTAAAGAATTGCTGTGCATATTGGGCGTGACGCGTCGGTGATGCTTCGATGTCGGCAATAATAGTCAAATGGACGTTATAACACCGTAGACCGGATTCTGGAGCGCCACGTGATACAGACTCTGGCCACGATTGACGCATTGTGAAACAACAGTTTCAAACCGCTCGTTTATCCACAGTAGAAATCAGAGCGAATGCGTCTGAAGGAGAATCAGTATAGAGCGACAGGATTACATGCGCGCGTGCCTAGAGTTCGACTTAAACCACAAATTCGCTTTGTAGTGCTCAGTGATGACAACAGATTCTGTCCTCATTCAAATAATGGCTGTTTGTGTCTACAGCATAGATTTTGGAAGCTACATTTCCTAGTGTATTTTCGCTCAATCTCTAGTCTCATGGTGTGAATTGATATACGTTACAGGTTTTGCTCACGTTTGGTGTTGTTGGAGAGAACTGCGCCATGTACATCCATCATGTATGCTCTTTTTTTTTAGCGAATCTTACGAGCTATCTAGTTTAATCTCATTTTCGAGTTTTTTAAAAGAATTTTAACTTTTTTTTTTCATTTTAACAACTCTTAGATTATTTCTGATACGGATGTTCAAAAAGGAAAAACATTCTGAATGACCATCTTTGACTACTGTTTCCCTCATATGATATAGTTATTTTCAATAACTCTTAATTTCAGAATAATTAAAAAACACACACACACACACATTGGATGCGATTATCTATTTTATGACATTAAACAAGTTTGAAAAAAATAAAAAAATTTGAAGTAATGTATAAACTCAAAACTATCATTTAACTAAAAAATACTACTAATGTAGTTTAAAAAATAAAATTATTCATTCTACTAAGTTTCATAAAATCGTATAGAATAAAATATTAATTCTTAAACTATTGATTATGTAATGTTAAGGATAATTTCTTTTTAAACATAAATACCAATGTCTTCATTATTGCACTGCTAGTGTTCTGTATTTCTTTAATTTTTATTTTCCGCGCCCTTTTTAATTTTTCGTCGCAGAAATCACTACGCACTACCGTAAAGCAATGTATTTCGTTTTTGATAACTGTAGTTTTATTTATAACATAAAACTTTAAACAAAAATAAATTAAATTAGAACCTTTTTTCCCGTGTAGAATAGCAATGACAAATTAAATAACAAATTAAATAATATAATAAAGTATTTTTTAAATTAAAATAAAACGAATAAGGCGCAAATTTTGCATGAAGTTTGAAAAGATCATGATTATTTGCAAAATAAAAGAAAATGCTCCTTCCTAGCATATTTTTATTTTGTAAATAATCATGCTCTTTATAATGATCGCGCATTAATTATTATTTCGTTTCTAGCATTATTTTTATTTTGTAAATAATGATGCTCTTTACGAAGTTCGTATATGTTTATATACCGTCTTGTTGATATTAATTCGATTATAATTTTTTTTTATCATTACAATTACATCAGTAAAAATTACTTTAAATCAGAGATTCGTTTTTATTGATGAGACACAAACTGATTTCAAACAAGGCTCGTAAAATAAAGATTTTTTTTTTGGTGGATGTATGTATTTTCCCACTGAGTAAACTTATTAACTGAAATAATCCTCAGATTTATTGATAATTAAACCGTATTTCCAATTATATAAATTATATATATATATATATATATATATATATATATATATATATATATAGATATAGATAGAGAGAGAGAGAGAGAGAGAGAAAGTTATTGCTATTTAGTACACTGCTTTCAATCTGAAGCAAAAACTACAGATGTGTGATACCAAGTTCGAATTGAAAGAATAATCAGAATTTGCCCGATTATTCTTTCTCGTCGCCCGTGTCTCTGGTAATTTATTTTTTACCTTCCATTTTTTTTTACATTCCAACATTTTTTCTGCACAATTTAAATCAGAGGACTGGTTTGCACAATTTCAAAATGTATGAAGTTTTTTTTTCTTTTAAATAATTGACAGTCAACTTCCAAGTGTGACAACTAACACCATCATGTTGAAAAAGTACGAATTTCCATATATTTGGTGTAGTATATATTGATATTCTTTCGAAAGTTCTCATTGCATAAAATAACTCTTTTTCGATTTTCTTTAATTGCTTTCCATATTGTTTTCTCTAAATCGCTAATTGGAAGTCTTTTTACATATTGTCTCGAACTTGCAATAAATTCAGTTCTACATTCATCTAACAAAATAACCATTTTTCAGTTCGAAATTAGCCATTCACTTTGACTTTAGGAAACATTTCACATTTTCCTGCATTTGTTTTTTTTTTTCCCATTAACTTCGGTTTCCTTTACTGCAATTCAACCAAACGAATTATTTTGTCGTAGACAACGTTTGATATCATCTACATCCACAATATGATAGCATCATCCACAATTAATTTATGTGTGCTGAGAAAATGTTGAGATTCGGTATTTGCCAAAAGATATCATACCGTCAACAATATTGAATCCAGGGTAGAAGGCTCATTCCAGCTGTTGCGATTATTTGCTTATCCCTCACCCTTTTATTTTTTTTGTCCGGCAACTTCGTGAAACCCGACACCGACGATTGAAGACAGTAACAATAGCGTCAGGAGTTAACAGCATTAATTGAGGTTGCTAAGCGACGAAAACTTCTATTCGTGCTCGACGATAAAGCTCATACACGAACATATTCACCCCCCCCCCACGTGATCTTTCTCTACAATTCAAATGCAATACCAACTCCTACGTATGTGGTAGAATCGCGAGACGAACTCTGTAAGCATTTTTGCATATCATCCGAGGTGAAAATGTAAATAAATTCTACTCTTCACTCCATTGTCGAGTGTTACTTCACATTGACTTTCTCTTAACGAGAGTATGTTAGACGACAAACTTGAACAAAGGCTTTTCAGACTCGTCGGTATTATTGTAGTTTCTGCAAAAGTTATCATTTATTGATCATGGTTTGATGTAATTTGAGTTAATCGATGATAAAATCTAGGTATAGCTAGCCGCTTGTTTTCAAGTATTCCCGTCTGCTAAGTTGGTTAGCTAATTCCTATTGCAGACGCCTGCTCAGGCACATTTGTGTTATGTCAACACCCACAAAGCAGACCTGTAGTTTATACTGCAACTATGCTGAGCGGACTTTAATTACAGTTTCTGAGAGAGAGAGAGAGAGCGTATAATCTGGTGTGATCAACAGTTTGAACAATTTGTACGTTAAAACCCTCGGTCACTATGACTTATGATTTCGTGTTAGCACAACCAACAACAGTTTCTAAAATGTTTCAGCTATGCAATTTTCACTCACAAGGTTTGAGTCAGTCCGTATTATAGTTCCCAGGCACTTCCCAATGATATTATCAAGAAGTCACCTTCTTGGCAAATCAACCATGGTGAGATTCAAGGTACCATTTTGGCGGGGTACTTGCCGAAGGCGAGACAGCCACAGAAGCGACAAGAGTCCGTTGCTATCGTTCTAATTACCTGGCTACTAAAATCCATGCAAACTGATAATAAATCTATACCTTTCAAGTATTTCAATTAATGTCATATTTCAGAATGATTTAGTATGTATTCTTTCCGGGCCGTAACAAATTTGAAGCTCAACATTTTACAATTATCTTAATAAACCAATCCATTTTATATTTTGTTGGAGGGCGTAACCTTCGCTTTGCATTTGACATAGATATTCTAGCTAGTAAAAAAGACGAACTCGTCAGTCTGCTGAATGATCCGAATAAAAATTCTCTAATGCCGAAAAAAAAGCTAAGACAAAAAAAAAAAATGTAAACAAAATTAAAAAAATCATGACGCACAGTGAGAAATTACTTTCCACCAAGATAAAAATCGGTGGTCAAGAACTTTAGGTTATAATGGCCCGATTCTCAGCGAAGAAGACTCCAGAATAGAAATAATTAGGTATCATCTGGAAAGAAAAGGACATCTGCCTGAAATTAGACGGCCGTGCGCATAGACCTTCTCAACCTTTCTGTACGCCCGTGACTCTTGGACATTAAAACGAGAATTACAGCGATTAATCCAAGCGTTAGAAATAAGATGCTACAAAGCCATCGTAGGTGTAGACTGCATCATAAATGATTCAAGTTCGAGACACCGTCAGAGAAGAAACAGGCCAGTCGGAAAACCTCATATTCACTGGCAAGAAAAGAACGTTAAAGTGTCACATGAACCAACAATCTTTTCGTTGCCATCCCACAAGGTAACATTATCTTTGTGGGAGGGGAGAGAGACACGGAGAGAGAAGAGGCTGAAAATGGAACTGAATGAACTTGAAGCACATTCACAGTTATTTAGGCATTGGTGTGCAATCGAAACATAAGGAAGGAGCTCAACTGCTTAGCCGACTCCAAGACTAAACTCTCTCATAGGACTAATGAGGATGAGGATGATGATGATCATCAAATATTATTCCATTCTAACATTCTAACTGTCTTTTTTTTTTTACTTTTGTCCGCGTATAAAAAAACATTTTACCAGTACCAAGCACACAATTTCATTAAAAATCATACAAAATAGTGACCCTTCTTACATCACATCATCTTATCACACCCGGTCGGAAGTTACTGTCGGTTACTCAAACGTCCGAAAGCGTCACCGCGGGAAACAGAACGAATGCCATTAATTTCCGATGACTCAGCGTTTTTCAGAGAACGAAACACAAAAAGCAAAAACAAACGAAACATAAACAAACCCTCCTAACTAAAAATAATGACCAGAAACTACTTCATATACACATGGTGTCTAAATGAAACCCATGTGTACAGTCAAAATGCGGAGGGTAATTTTTAGTCATCAACCAAAAGATATTGCTAACAGCAGCCGACATAAACACAGCCGCTAACTTGGCTAATAGTCTAACTCTCTGCCTTCGGGCGGAGAGGAACCCGGACGAGGCTCCGCCGAAGGGCAGAGTCGCGTTCGGAGTGGTTGACTGTCCCTGAATCCGTTTATGCGGGTTCAAAGAGGGAATATTTTTGGCCGAGCCTACGGGCTCGGAGATCCCACGTTAAACCTGGCCTTGTGCCACATGTAACCCTCGTGGGTGGGTGGGTAGCTAAATATCACTTGGCTGACTTGGCTCCGGAGTAGAGCGACGTGCTCCCCCTCTCACCCCCTCTCACCTTTACCTGGCCGACCCTCGTCGCTGACCGCACGAACATGATATGCGAAAGTCCTTTTTAGGACTAACCTGGCCACATGATATACGATAGTCCTTTTCAGGATTAACCTGGCCACATGATATATGATAGTCCTTTTTAAGGACTACCAAGCTGCGTTCTTACACGACTGTCATTCTAAGGACGAACAGGCTACCCCAGCACTGTCTATGCCGATCCTCTCTCTTCTTAAACGCTGACGCGCTCACCACAAAAGGGGAACATCCGGGGATCAACTGGACCTCGAATACCGCTGTTCCATCTGCCTGTCTCCGAGCTGCTGCCTTGAACTCAAAAATTATCTTTCGATTGGGACTCCCTGACTTCACGATCGAACTATACCAAACAATTCCTGTACGTACATTTGTCCAGATCGACAAATCCGACGTTTGTTATTCTTAACCTCTGCCTTTGTCCCCTCATTGTCTCCCACTGTTCACACCTTTCTTCGTAAAGCTTGCGGGGGCGACATCCTTATCGGCCCCGTAACAATCTGAAATTTTATTGAATAATTCGAAAACAACAAAAAGAAATAAAACAAACACTGAAGTTTTTCATTAATAATTTAATAAGCTTTGAATCTTTCGTTGAATGTAATTCTCAACAAAAACACATTGAAGATGAAATGGAATAAAAAGAAAACATGTCTTTAAACGTTAGAAATTAAACAAATGAGTTTACTTGTTATTATTTCCTTTTACAAAGATTTTTCCGATTTGAAAAGATTAGTCATTGTGAATGTTTTCGTTATTTCAACGAATCGCATTAAATTGGAAAGCGGTTTTTCTTTTTACTTTTTTGGTCAGTGAATTTTTTTAAAAATTAAACTCTACGGATCAAATATATTAATGCATATCATTCGTCATTGTCTCTTTTGTTAATTCGATGAGTCAAACGTAACAACATTAACGACAAAGTTATCCAGCAAGATAAGATTGATAACTGCTGGATGTAAATGTGATTATCCAGAAAGTTAAGTGTAATAATGACTGTTCGGTATAATTGCAACATGTTTATCGTCCATTGTGTATTAAAAATTTGCGGAAACTATCAAAATATTTATTTGAAAGTAATGATTGTTTCCATAATTATAATATCAAACTGAAACATTTTAAAATAATCAATAAAAACGGAAAGATTTTTATTAAAGAGATCCTGTCACACCATACCCTTGTATAAATTTATCGACTCAACCAAAGAGAAATGTCTGTAGTTAATAGACATTCAACCTTGTAAAGTATCAACTATGATTAGTGTATGGACACGGACATTTTAAATTAAAAATTTGAAATCTATTGCAATAATTTAAATAACTTTTAAAGTTTAAATATTGGTTTTAATGGCAAGAAAATAACGTAAAGTTACTAATAAAAAAGTGAAGTACTTTTACGCAAATAAAAATAAGTTTTAGATTTTAATTTAATATTTTCCCAAATTGCCCAAATCATCCGATTCCACCATATTGATAACAAAGTATCTTTTCAATATCCTACGTACATTGCGAAACGCTGCGACGCAGATGAATGTTTTGTTTAAGAATATAATCGGTCTAATCGCAAAGAAATGACTATATAGACAAACAATGCAGCTGTTTTTAATGTTGTTGAGATTTATTAATGATTGGTGATTATGTCACCTGATGTTAACTAACTGCATAATTAAAAATACCTTTTAAACATTCCATAACATTTAAGTAGATGCCGTAGAAATGTCACACAAAACACAACCATCATTTTAAAATTTTGACATTATCTGTATAATGATTAAAAATTGACTTTTATGAACGAATTCTGTCGACGAGATCAAAATTAAAGAACTCTTTCGCTTCCTATTATTGTAGAATTCAGCTATATTTATAATTTGTTAATATTTATTAAATTTGACTTAGTACATGCAATACAAGGCCAGATAGAGAAAATAGGAAGGAAGATTATGTTAATATTCTAATTGGGGAGTGTTTGCCTACTACGGAATTTGAAATCCTGTCTTACTTTTTTTTTTTTATAACTCGGCTCGAATATCGGTAAGAAAAACGCAACTATTTCAACCAAAAATTTGGCCTTTTTAATCACATTGAGAAGAGTTCTCCGTCAACGTTTTTAAGATGTATTTATAGTAAATAAATTTGTTTGCTGAAGGGAAAAAAATGAAATCACCGACAGACAATATTTTAAGTTGTTTTAAAAATTAAAAATTTAATATATTTTTTCACCTTGGCTTTCAGTTTTCTAATAAAGGCCTGCAGAATGCTCTAGGGGATCTTGGAGAGCTTGGATTGGGGGGTGCTTAACCTCCCCATTTTTACTGAAACTGAAAACTAAACAGAAGACTAAAATTGGATTAAATCAATGACAATGCTGCCATTTATCTAAAATCGTTACCAGCATTAATTTTCAAAATAAATAAGAAAACTTCATTTTTCCTTTTCTTTCAAAATTAGCTTCCACACATTTTATATAAGTTTTTATATATGGGAAAATTATATTGGTCTCCTCGTTCAAGAAAATAAGTACAAGCGAGAAGCAAAAAGACTAAATAGTTTATGTATTTAAAAACAAAAGACAAAAAATGTTTACAGTGGGTGTAATCGCTCTCTAAAATGTTCATTTTGCTAAAAAGGATCAGATAAAAAATATCAAAATAAGAATCTTCAAAAAGATAAAATCTGATTTAAAATGCCCATTCACTTTTTTTTTTATTTTATCTTTTGGCGCTGTGCTTGGAAGGGTTATCTTTAATTTAGAGTAGACTAAATGAGCAGTAAATATGACACAAGTCTGTTAATGCTTAAGCTGCAAATGCCGTAAATATATTTTCATTTGTCCATTACTTTAGTATAGTAAAAACAAATGCTTTTTAAAGCCAATGACTAAGAAATCTCGTCTAAGAAGTGTAAAAAATGTACTTTAAAAGATATTTAAAAACTGTATTCGCACATTTTTTAATAACTCCGGCAATCTGTCGTTGGCTAATTTTTTATGAGAAAATCTTTTCATGTAAAATCGTTTCATTACAGACTGATAAGGAAAATCAGGATAATTAAAAACATCTTTCATCTTAATTCCGTATATTCTTGAAATGAATGTGCGTACGTGTGTGTGTGTGTGTGTGTGTGTGTGAGTGAGTGAGTGAGAGAAAGGAGAGATTAGAAGGGGAATGAATAATAAAATAGCCAATGATTTTCAGTTTTTACCCTTGAAAGAAAAAAAAATCTTTTTCTTCGAAACAGGAGAAAGAATATTAACTGAATGTCTTTGTATTCAAACAAACTAGAATTCTTATGTTTGAAAAGACATTTTTCATCGGAAAAAATTAGCGTCATAGAATTATCAAATAGAATAGAATCAATCAATCAATCTTTTTCTTTCTTTCTTTCAATACTGACAAAAAGATCAGAAATGAAGTATATAAAATTAACATGAAGCAGACGTATTCAGTTGAATGCAAAGGCAACGTAAAAAGACAAGAAAAATTGCAACTCTTATATTACTAAGAGAAATAAAGACAAAAGAACTTCTGACAGACGTATTATCTCGATAATTTTTGTATAGTTGAAGCAAAACAAAGAAGAAAATTAGAGAAAATGTAGGCCTGCAATGTGGCAGTGTTTAAGAAGAGATGCTACTGAACGTTTTCAATTGCTTCTTATCATAGGAACATTATTTCTCCATGAAGTAGTTTTAAAATAACAAAATATTTAGTGTTTGAAAGTGTTGTTCTGGAACCGCCTTATTTGTCCAGGACAAAATTAGGTGAGAACAACTTTCGCTTTTCAAAAAAAATTAAAGTAAGAAACGAAAAAATTAGGGAGCAAAGAATGAGAATGTATTTATTGTAATAAATAATGGTCGTAAAAACTTAAAATTGATAAGTCATAATTTTAATTTTTGAACAGATTTTGATCAAAATAGCTCAAGTATTTTTAATTATGGTAAGTTAAGGCATGTACAAAAACTATAAGTAACGACAGTGGGCAATTTTAGATTGAAGCGAGAGAATTGTCAGCTGCGAATAAAATTGGACATTTTTTTTTATCAAGGTAGGGATTTTTCGATTTTGTTGCTTTATTTCGCGTTCCTGCAGTTGATTTGTAAGAAACTGTTTACACGCATGTCTGCGTGCTTCCGCGCGTACAAATAGAGCACAATTGAAAAAAAAAAAAGGTCTTTTATTTAAGGATGACATAGACTTTACCGGCGTTATCCATTTAGTGAGATTGTATCTGCGAGCAACCGTGAACCAAGCCGAGGTCTTAATATAAGATGGAACATTCTTGAACAATGAAGAAAAGATGAAAAAAAAAAAATGAAAGGATTTTAAACTTTTTAATGAAAATGTCATTTAAATAGGAATATAATAAACTTTAGTAGTTTTGCAGAAATATTACAGTCGGCAACATAAGATATATATGCTGATAAGTTGTCGGTTCGTTTATCAAAATATAACCAAATGATCAAACATAATTTTAATTAAATGGCTTCTTGCTTGGAACGAGGACTTTCCAGTGCCTCTCGTAGTGTTTCTGTCTGAACATCAAGTTAAACAGTCTTAAAATGTTATGAAGTCTCAAAATGAACTGAGAGTCAATAATAATATGGTTGTCAATCAGATATTCGGGTGGGGGGGGGATTGTCTTTTTCACTAGCCAGGGTTAAAAAACAAACATTGTCGAGCCATAAAAAAATCACGAGATACAGATTTGGATGTTTTATACACCAAAGCGAAAGAAATGCTCGAATTGTTTATTATTATTGAGACATACGAGGATTTATATTACGAATTTATTCATAGAAATATAAATGGAACTACTTTTTAGATTGTTTTATCATTTGTTCTTAAAAATACATTTTTTTGTAAAAGAAAACTGTCATAATTTTGAAAATTTTATCCTTAAGGAAATTTACCTAAGTAATGAAACCTAAGCTTCTTCAAAATAAGTCCTTAACTTAATGATGAAAAAAAATCATTATTTTACATAAATATTTATTTTTCAACATAAACTCCTTCTCCGTTGACTACTAAACATTAAACAGTGAACATTTCAGATCAAAATTCAGCTAAATGCAGTTAAGAACTTACTGATCCACTCATGTATTTTTTAGTCTATTTTTTCTTTTCGATAAAATTTGTCAATGAGTCAACAAGCAATGGAATGAATTCTGGGAAATATACTGACTACTGTTATGGAGAGTTCTTAAAAAGGAATTAATATTACATTTAGTTGAGGTCTTATTTGACAAATTTCTTAATTTTTGTTTAAGTACAAGAAAATAGAGAATATAAAAGTCAACTATTAGGTGAATTATTGCATCTTTTGAAGACACATCCATTAAATTATTGAATCTTTTAAAAGATTTGTGTCAATTTATTTATATGCCATTTAATGTAACTTCAACAAGAGAGGCGATTTGTCAACTAAGCGACAACTAACAATGCTCATTAGATCGCGCATTCATTCCACCTATATCGGTGGGTAGGGGAAAAGATTTTGGCTGAAGGGGAAAAGATTTTGACTGGTTAGATTTTATTTTGTAGACTAGCGACATCCACATTCAGCTATCGACATCTCCCGAATCGTTCCCTTGTAGATTTCACCATCAATTGTGTATTGGATGTTGTGGGCATCGTAACGGATTGGAACACAACATGGAGCAATAAGTTTATTAAGAGTAACATTGGTGCTATGCCGGATAAGACTTTGTCGAATTGAAACATTGTTCAAACCATCCTCGAAGCCTTGGGTCAGATCTGCAAAAGAAAGAATTCTTCATTTTATTAAACAATGACTCTACATATTTGGATAACGGTTTGGATTGAGGAATCGGAGAGCCGAGTTCGAATTCCAGTCGAATCCATTACATTCACTTACGTGCTAATACCCTTGGGAAAGGTATGAATCCTCTTCTTCTGGGTAAATAGCAGGACAGATCGGGTTCTATAGCCTTGGATGGCAACGGGTCTACTGCAGAAAGGAAATGGCAACCTACTGCGAAAAAAAATCTGCCTCGTCAGTCATGTATCGAAAGTGACATGATCGCCTAAGCGTGTATCTCGCATGGCACTATAATTAATTAAAAAAAATGTTTATTTGGCTTGATTCGGACTAATTTTCTCATCTTTATTTTTTTATTTTTTCATTATGTTTCGCTCTTGACGTGTTGTTTTGTTTAGCGGCATACCAATCTATTAATCTATTTGGCTATTTAATGCTGAAATTTAAATATTTTACACGGAATTTTATTATTTTGGAGATGGTAATTCTTATTAATTAATCCATAGCGGGGGAGAAGAGGTGGATGCATACCTTTCCCAAGGGTATTTGCGCGTACGTGAGTATAACGAACCTAACTGGAATTGGAACTTGGCTCTCCTATTAACAATTCTGTGTCAGTATTCGTTACACCCACCCGCATATCATGACTTACAACACCAGTCATTTCCAAGTGGTCACCCATCTAGATACTGACCAGGCTCGACCTTGCTTAACTTCGGTGATCGCACGGGAACCGGTGTTTCAACATGATGTGGCCGTAAGCCTGAGAATGCTTGGAGGGAGAAGAGAGTTTACCAACCATTATGAAATAATAGAGAGGTAACAGTAGTAGAGAAGGAGACGGTCAAAGGGACCCTCACAAACATCGAGATAACCGAGAATGAATATAGTACTGGGTGTCCCAAAAGTTGTGCTATCATTGAAAAACAGTTTAAATTTTACATTTATTTACCAAATGAAATAATACATACATTTGGAAATTTTATTGGTCTAATTATACAAGATGATGTCTTGCAAATGTCCTCTGCTTTAGCTGTTTCGCAAATATATGTTTTCTTTCAGTTGCTGCCTGACCTTTGGAACATCCTGTATATGGGTAGGGGAAGGGGTAGGAGCTAGGAGAATATAATTCAAAGACGCAAGCACTCGACGCTACATCTATGTGAGAGGAAGCATATGCTCTCCTTTGACGACATTCCAGAAAACATTCGACACCCGAAAGAAGTCGGAGGCTACTCAGCCGAAACATTGTGAAAAATCAAAATAAAGAAGACGAAATTATTCTGAATCACATGTAATAATAAAATCGCTTCGTCTAATAATAAATCAGTTATAACGTTGATATCAAAACTTCTTGTTTAAAGACACGACTTAATGAATTTAATCAAATATTAGAAAGAGCACTAGTTTCGATGATTTTGCTTTGTTAGCGTGTATTAATTATTTTCTACTAAAAACCTGATATTTTTTCAAAGTGTATAAACACAATCTGTTTAGTTTCTTTGTCAAAGTTTCATATCAACACATTAATCAATTTTTTTTCCGGTGGACAACAACTCCAAGATTTTGATTTATAGAGAAGGATTATGATTTTTCATAGATATTTTTTGAGGTTAATTTTATGAAGCACCGAACAAAAGCACTACTCCGGAAATAGTCAGTGTTATTAATTTATTAACCATTGATCTGTTGTATAATGTTTATGAATGCATTTTTAACAACTCAAAAATCGATTATCATATTGGATACTGTCAACAACGACAAAAGGAAGAGGAGGAAGATAATCTTTTGCTATTATTACCTGGATAGAGTTTTAGTCACGAGATCTAACGATAGGATAAAGCGCAGGGAGAAATGTATTCGTGGCTTTCCCAAGGGCGTACGTATGAAAGAACTTCAGCAAACTCGGAACGACTTCCTTCACGCCTACACAACATTCTCTAGAAACTACTCAGGAAAATTCATTATAGGATTATCGTTTCATACCATTTGTTCACACGCATTTATTTATCAACATTTAATACCATTCGTTCGCATGCATTCATTCATCATCATTTCATACAATTTGTTCACAGGTTTGCTTGATCATGGTTTTATTCCAGTATTTCAAACGCATTTATTGATCGTCATGTTATACCATTTGTTCACACGCATTTTTGATTATCATTTCGTACCATTTCTTCACATGCATTTATTGATACGTACATTTTGTTCACAGGTATTTATTGGTCATCCTTTCATAGCATTTTTAAAGAGGCATTTATTGATCATCGTTTCCTACCATTTGGTCACACACATTTATTGATCATCATGACCTATTATTTAGTCACATGTATTTATTATCTATTCATATTATACACACGCATTTCTTAATTATAGCTTCATGTCATTTGTTCACACACATATATTGATAATCGTTTAATACCATTTGTGCCAACCTATTTATTGAATATCAATTCATGCCATTTGTGCCTACGCATTTACATATTACCGTTTCATACCATTTGTACAATCGCGTTTACTGATTATAGCTTCATGGCATTTGTTCACACGCATTTATTGATCATTGTCTCCTACCATTTGTTCTCAAGTATTTATTGATTATAACCTCATGCCATTTGCTCACAAGCATTTATTGATTATCGTTTCATAGCATTTTTTCACACTCATTTATTGAATATAGCTTCATACCATTTATTCACACGCATTTATTATCGTTTCATACCATTTGTTCACAGGCATATATTGATCATCTTTTCATACCATTTATTTACAGGCATTTGTTGATTATTTCATGCCATTTATTCACAAGATACCATTTGTTCACAAGAATTTATCATCGTTTTATACCATTTGTTCATTCGTCTTTTGTCTGATCTGCAAATAATTGTTCATGGTTTTTCTAAAGAAAAGCTTTAACTAAAGGTAATGCGTCTACTTTAAATTTAGAAAATTCTCAGATTCAATTTTATGTGAAGATCCATTCGCTCAATTCATACCGATATCACATAAAGTATCTTTAGGTGTTCGATATCCATCAATTTAAAGTTCTTAATATACTAAGCATACTTTCTCTGCTTGTAGATTTTCGAACCTAATAAATTCCAAACAGCAGTTCATGATTAATTATCGAAATGAAGATATTATCGATAGCTACATCTAAAACAAATAATGAATTTTAAATGTCTATTTATAAGAACCAGTTTTCTTATCAGTGCTATCAATAGTAAGTTTATTGACACGTAAATGGTCTTTATCATTTGTGTCATTATTATGCCAAAGAACAGGAGTCTATAATTAAATGGGCAACTGTTTTAAGATCTGAAATTAAATGTCAAAAAAGAACGAAACAAACGGGTTATCGAGAGATTTGAATTTTTATTTCATATTAGGTCATCCGAAAACTAACTCCGAGTGAAGCATGATCGTTAAGCATCTGAAATTTCATGTCAAGCTTTAAGCAAAATAGATCTCTAGACAAATCATTTGAAAAAATATTCTGCCTTCAAATGAAAGAAAATAATTTTGCCAAAACATTCAGTCTGTGATTTTCGTTATTCTAAAATATTTAAATGTTAACAATGCACGTTTTCGCATGTAAACGAAGTCGAAACTACGATTTAAGTAGGTTACTAAATTGATCTTCCTAAGATCGTTGTTTCCCAGGAGAATATAAGGTAAGCAATGCTCTATGAACTTAGAAAAGACAATAATACTGCAAAGGCAACTAGAAATATTCACGGTATTTAGGGAATAGATTATTTAAAGAAGGAAATTGCTGAAGTTGGTTTAAAGACTATAAAGACAGTGACTTCAGCCAAAGGAATATACCACTAAATGGTTGTTCGTTAAGCTCAAAGATGATCTGCTCGACAGAAATAGCGATGTCAAAGTTGAAGAATTAGACTGAATTTAAGTAGTTAAGCGATTTCCTATCATTTCCAACAACTTAGAAAGATGCCTAAACATGGAAATGGGTTCTTATTTAGTAATAGGTAACCACATAGTAAGAGTGAACAGCTGCACTTCACCATATTCTTGAGAATGTATAGCTTCATTTTTGGAAATATGAAATAGCTGGGTTGAGACGAACAAGCCAGAATGGATTGGCATCCAAGAAAAATTCTGGTAAGTATCTGGTGAAAGTGCATTGGCCAGTATTACAATTACAGTAGACATTTGTCTGATTAGTTAAAGTATTAACATATTGAATTGATGAAACAAAAGTCCAAATTTGATCCGTCACAAAGGTGTGGTGATCCGCCATTGTAATATACGGCCTCACACAAGAATTCTATCAGATAAATTCCCGTCAATGAAACAATTCTTTTCTTTGCTTAATCTTCAGATATTGCTTTATTTTTTACCGAATATTTCGGAGTTTACAGATCCATCTTGAAGGACGAGTTCTTAAAACAACACAGAAATTAACCTTTATATATTCTACTTATAACCCTCCCCAAGAAAACGCTATTATTGAGAAAGAAATTATTCCTAATTATGGAACTAGTGTAAATGAATAAATTCTAATTAAAGATAGATTTTTAAAACTTTTTTTTTGACCCTAAATTCAAATATTATTTATGGGGCGCCCTGATATAAGAGTTGATAATTTTTTTTAAAAATTTCGCATTTAATCTTTTGACTTTAGCAATTATATTGAGGTTTGATTATCTTTAATATTATTATCTTTTATTAATGAATAAAAAGCAGCCAAATTAATAACACATTATGATTGGCGTCCCTTAAATTGTTTTAGTTATTGCAATGATTTAAGAAAATCTTGGTCTATCGATCAATAAAAGGATCTATTGATCAATTCTGAATGAACCCTAAACCTTTTCATTCTTTTTGTTCTGTACACAAAATCAGCAAATACACACCAACTGACAATCGATCCTCAATTTCAATGAAGGCCTGACTACTTTTATACTTTGCATTTATTTTCTTATACAGTGTACATTAAATCTAACGTGCGAATGCTAAAAAATTCTAAAGAAAGTGTGAAAAAAGAAGGAAGATTATGTTTGTTTTACAATAAGTGTTGTTCGATTGAACAATTTTTTCAATCTTTTTTTCTTTATGTTTTGGACTTCCTCATCTCAAATTTGCATAGCTTGGAGATTATTTCTAAGAAATCCAGAACAACAACAAAAACGGTTTGGGAAATATGATAAATCCTTCCCTCGTTGCTTGGGTAAAAGCGTTCTGGTATAGCTAACGATTTAATATCTTTTATAAAATTCAATAAATGGGAACGAGAACTGAGCACTTAGTTGAATTTTATTCTATACTGACACTTCACCGCATGTTTTTTGGTTTAAATGATGGAAGGAGTAAACAGTCGTTTGGTTTTGTAACTGCGTTAATTCAATTGCATAAATGTCTGCTTTGTTTTTGTTGACAAAAGTGAAACAAGTCGCTTCTTTTTCTATTTTGCTGCTTTGTTAAATGTTATAATCCTTTTTTGGTGTACAATTCTGTTTATTAACAGAAATATTTGAGCATTTTTAATGTATTGTCAATTATTTTTATCATATATTTGAATTGTACTGAAAAGACTTTAAAAGCTGCATTAGTAGACAAAAAGTAAATTGTAAGCAAATTTAATGTACGAAGAAATTTTTTTTATTAAATTTGAGTTAGAGTCATCTCGTTAGTAAAGGAAACATTATGTGCAACATTATCGTCGTAAAGATAAGACGAAATCTTGCATACATGAAATGATTTTTTATTCATTTCTGGACGTGGTCAATTAATATCGGTATAAGGGTGTGTAGTTATAAAAAAATGCAGTGGATTTTTAAGTTTTCTACAAATTAGAATTTTACTTACATTTTTTTAGCACAGTTCACAAACAAAACTTAATCATTGAACACAATTGTGGTTATTTAAATCAGATGCGTGCAGTGTTAGAAGGTTTATTTATCAAATTAAGTCTAAACGTAATTTCTGTTGTTTTGGTAATGAGTTGTTACATGTGAACTAACCTGCTCCATCTTATTAATTGCTATTAATTGCTCCCTTGTGGAGAAGAGGGCTACAGCATCACTGCTGCTGTGGGTTATGTAGTAATGTTGCCAATCACGGTGAGATAGCCCAGTCTGCTCTGTTATTTAACCTTTCACCGGCACAAGAAGGGATGGATTCGCAAAGGTATTTGTATGAAAGTGAAGGTAGTGAACTTTTCAGGCCGATTCCACTTTTAACGTCAACAACCTCAACGCAAAGTGCATCCATCGAAGTGTAGTTTCTATTTGCTTTATAGCAATAATCGAAATATGGCTATGTTATAGGATCCTTTTAGAATTTCACATTTCATATTAGAAATTGTTGGTTGCTAATCAGCGAATTTCTAAAAGTGGTTGATTTTTATAATTGGACTTAAAATGGGAGGATGGCGTAAGCGTAACTCAGATGTGGCACAAAACCGAAAGCATGGAGTACCCAGTGAGGATCGAACTCGCTACTCGCTGGTAATTGGCCTGTCAAGACACGGTTGCTAACTATTACACCACGTCCCAGTGCCCGTGCAAAGCGTTTTATGTTTTAGCTTTTAAAACAGAATTTATTTCGTTAATATTTGTATTGTTTATAGGAAAGCAATACAAATATTAAGGAAATAATTTTTTTGTTTAAAAATGTGATCAAATATTACACAACACCAACCCTTTATGTGCAGGGTCTTTTCATTAACACTGGAGATTTGAACAGATAGGAGAGCATAAGTTTTTGATAAAGTGTTTGTGTGCATGCATGTGCGTACCTGCACGTGTCTGTGTGTGTGTGTGTGTGTACTAGATTGCGATATTAATAATTCAAATATAAGCTGTTTTGATAAAATTTGCGTGTATAAGAAATTTTTGTGTTTGCACATAAAACGTATTAATTCATGACAGAGAATTTGACTGTTTATGTTCCGATCTGATGAAGGAAATAGTTACTCATAATTGTAGGCGTGCCGATAATTGTATTACGAAGAGATAAGCGAGTTTAAAAGGAAAAGACAAGACAGATTAACGGATAAAAGTGAAATGCAAGAACTTGCAATATATTTACTTATTGTTAGTTTTCTCGACGAGAATTGAATGTCAAAAGATTTCGAGTTTAATCATTTGTCTTACCTTGAGGGCAAATACAAAACAAAAGCAGTTTAATTATGAGATCACACACGCCTACATGCGGGTTTCTTTTTAATCATTTCACCACAAGCAAGGCAATGAAGCCACTAAGATGCAAGGGGGTTACTGAATATGAGAAAACAAACTAGTGAGAGACAACAATAAAAAGAACAAGAATTAAAAAGATAGATAACGATTGACATTGCATTTAAATTTTTGATGATTAAAGTTGACTGGAAACAAGAAGCCTGAAGAGAAGTCTGCATGCAAGAAGTACGGTGGAAGAAACTGTTAACATAGAACTTGCGGTTACATCTAGCCATTTCAACTGTAAAATGATGAGACCTTACCGTAAATCTGGTACCGTGCTAAAATTCATAAAGTCTAGGTACCATAGAGGAAAGTTCATCAGAAAAATCACCATGGATGTATTTATAGAAAAGGTAGAAGGAAACTGTTATGGCGGTGTGAAATTGACTGAAGCCTCAGTTAAAAACAAAAACTGCTCAGTGACCGCGGTCTCTTCCACCAAAGCATCATATCTACTTCAGATTTCGAATCTCTAGTTTGGCTTCATTTACACTGTGTCACTGTATATTCCAGCTCTAGTGCAGCACCTCTACATTGCACTCAAAGGAAAGATCATGGCTGGCCTTGACATTTTTCGTTTTGTTCATTTGCTTTGTGGAGAGGTAAATGAAAAAATTCGGAATCTTTTCGACAACCAGTGAAAATCACTTATCAAAATTATGAGAAAAGTAACAATAAGTAAACTACTGTGCAGCTCTCTATATTCCATTTGCAAACCTTCATCCTTTATTATTTCCAGTAAGAACTACTGAAAAAATGTTTTTGCTGATTATGTATTCATATTACGTCATGTTTTTAGGATATGTTGAGAAAACTAACATTGATAAATCTGAGGTTTAAATCACCGAATAAATAAAAGTTGGCAAAATGAAATCACTTTGAAAAGAGAAAGATTAAGTTTAAGTCAACTGGATAAGAAACTTTATTCAATTCAGTCAGTTAAATGTCATACATCATACACGCTTGGGCGATAGATGACTGACGAGGCAGATTTTTTCCCGCAGTAGGTTGTCATTTCTTTCTGTGGTAGACTGGTTGCCAACTAAAGTTAAAGAACCCAGTCTGTCCTGAGAAGCGATGAACTTAAATATTAACATTTTGAGACTACTAAATTTTTCAAAAGGGGTTGCTTCATATATCACAATCACCTATCTTATCACTTCATGACGTAGCCACGAGTCTCCACAGACTCCTAAATAAAAGTTTCTGTGTGCATGTACAACTCACTGTTGTAGCATTTTATAATTGAAAAAAAAAAAAAGATCAATTTTAATGACATACATATTTGCAAAGATGAGACAAATTTTCTTGAAAAAGAAATGTCATCAGTTATTTGCCGATACAGCTGAGTATTAGGAGCCTCATTAATTGTTTTAAAATTGAGGCTTCAGACCTTGTTTCATCGTTTCTGCTTCGTTTAGACATAATGAGAAGATAGCAGTTTGGCTCAATTAGGTTCGTACTTCAGTTATTTGTAATGGTTGGCTGATCGTTTCCGAGTATACCCGCTTTCTACGGCGGCGAGTTAAACCCGGCTTAAGCCAAATTGTGTTTTCTCAATACATACAGAATCAACTTCTGGTTGATACTGCAATTGAGCATACCTTCAATATCTGTCTAAATTACGCAAATATGAAAATAACACTGACATCTCATTTTAACAGATATATTTATCAAGATTACACAAAAAATATCTTGAAATACTAAAAGAGTAAAATTATTCAATAAAATTGTAGTTGGCTTCAACAACAACCCCCAGACGACTTCGGAATCGCCTGTAACTCTTCTTCTGGAAGGTCTCCTTGTTTAAGTTGGTGAATGCTACCATAATCCTTGATTTTCAGTTTATCTTTAGTGTTACAAGGGTTCATGTCGAAATTGCAACCACCAGAAGAAGATCGGCCGAAACGTCGTGAATATGAGAACAAAGATGAGGACCCAACACTCCAAACAAATGTGTATACCTTAGTTACATTTTCTGAGAGAGATTGGATAATCTGACGTGACAAGTAGTTGAAGAAAACTGGTACGCTCAACCTTTGGCCACAATAACAATTTCACTCACATTTTGCCTGAGTCAACCCATGAGGGTATGTTTTTTCAAGCATTTCCTAACGGTACCACATGCTGTTATTGTTTTCCCCCGATGCCGATATTACCAAGAAGTCGCATCATTTACAAATCGACTATAGCGAGATTCTGACCGGGGAATCTGTTAGCGAAACAAACGAAAACAACTTTTAAACAAAAAATAAAAAAAAATATTTTTTCATATTATAGATTTTAATAAAATTACATTAAATATTATTGCCTTATGATAAGCATTTATCGAGCGTAACAAACTGCCATCCCTGAAGAAAATCAATGCTGATATTTGCAGAACGGATTGCCTTCATTACCTTCTTGCATAAAATTACGCCATAATCAATTTACATGTCTCAATACTTCCTAGTTAGCGGACTTTTCGGTGTTTAGAATGTCTTATACAATAAAGAAGTCATAACCCAAAAGTTGCTCACGACAAATGCACTGCTGAAGTAGACAGTGATTGTGTCAAATATTTTAAATTAAATAAAAGTTTTAGTTTTACATGCATAGAAAACTAACCTACATTGAAAACATGTAGAAATAACTTTTGCAAACATGTGAAAAATAAGGTAAATATGAACTTTAAAATGATTGAAACTCTCTGATGATCTATTTAGAACTATGGAAAGGATATGTTCGATATATTCTCATTTTCAAAATAAAAGGTAAAATAAATCTTAAATTGAGCAAACTAGAAATATATTAAAAGCTCGACGTGAAATGGAATATGTAACAAAGAAATATATTTACCGCAGTCGCCTTTGCAATAGTTGACTCGTATGTAACTCGGATTCAAGATGAATTCATTGTATCCAATGTCGGCAAAATTGACAGTCAAATTAGCCAGACAGCAACTGTCTTCGTTGTCGGAGCATTTGCGGGGTGGCCGTTTATTGATTCGCCTCTTTTGCCGAGAGCGAATATTTAAAACAATAAAAGGATCCTGTCCATCTTTATGTAGCTGTAAGATGCTATTCTGATCTGGTCGGAATAAGACTTCAATCCCCTGTGTTTGTCGTCCTTGGGTTAGCCAATCATTGACAAACGATAAGATATCAAATCGTAACCAGTTTTTTCTCCGGGGGAATAATGGCCGTAACTTTCTACTTTGCCGCCCGTGAAGTTGGCGAATGCTTAATTTTTTATCGTATCGTGGCAGCCACAATACAGCCCGGGAAAATGTCAGGTTGGCTATATTCTTGCGGATATTGAAATAAAGGCAGACGTTCTTCTGGGGTTTCTTGCAACTTCTGCTCTCTGGAAGGTAAAAACAAAAAAGAAAATATAATGATTAAGTTCTTTGTATACCTGTCTATATTTCTGAGATAAGATTTTGTAATTATTTACACTATTTACGTTCGGAATTTGTTGGCATATTCACGACGTTTTTGCCCGTTGAGGACCCCGGCCTTCTTTTGGCGATTGCAGTTTCGAACGGAACCTTTTATTTCGTCCACCTTGGCGCAGATCGTTCTAGCTCCACGTGCCATGCCTCTTCTGGATATCCGAGTTTCATTCCTTTCCCTTTTCCTCAACTCTCCAAGATTTTGTTCGCCTGGCCAGGTATGGAACTCACAATTCTTTTGGTCAAATCACTGGATTACTTCAACTAACGTTTTTATCCACTGAGCCATTAATTCCGAAATTCCAATTAGCTGAAGAAGGCCGGAACGAACAAAGGTCGAAACGTCGTGAATATGACAATAAAGGTCAGGACAGTAAATAGAGTAAATAAGTTCTTTCTCTCTCTTTCTCTTTTCACATATTTAAAGTTTCTGAAATATCGACAGAAATATTTAAGAATCTCAAACTTCTTCACAAAAATAATATTTCTTGACTACTTTTTTATTTGGCCTCTTCACTTATTTAATGATAATTATTCAATAAGAATATTCGAATGAGTTATATTCCGGTTTTGTTTTTAATGATTTTCAGTTGATTGATATCAGCTTAATGATAAAGGCGTAAGCTAAACAAATATTCCAGCTTATTGTAAATCACATAGAAATAATCTTTACAGTGGTTGATTGAGAAGTACATAAAATCAGAGATATTTAATAAACTACCTCGCTTCAAAATGTTTCATTATAATCTTTGTGACTTTTAAAATAACTGACAAACATTTCATTTCAGCCTTATAAAGGAAAGGCTTTTCTCGCAAGGACAAGACATTTTTTTAATATAATTTTTAAATGTAAAAAAAAATGTTATGAAAATTTAATGAAAAAATGTGCCTTCGCAAAGTAAAAAAAATTTAAATAATTTAATTAAAAAGATACCAACTATTTTTTAGAGCTGCGTTAAAAAATGTTTTATCTTGGAAACATTGAAACTACAGTTTAAGAACCGCTAAAATAGTTTTAACAAAAATCTCAGTAGCATAAAAATAAAAACCATTACTCACTTTAATACATCAAATTTATTAAAATCAGTTTATTTTCGATTAATTTTAATATAAAACTAGTATTTTTATTGTCACTGTTCTCCCTGATAAACGCTTTAATACAATGAGGCATGTTGACTATGAAATTTTCATAATATTCTTCTGAAATCCCTTATTCTTCATATAATCGCACAAATTTTCTATGGGATTGAGGTCAGAGTTGTTACTTATGATACTCTTGCACTTTGTTTTGTTACATGATCCACCATCATTGCATAAATAAACTGCAACCATACAGGTGCATGTGAATATCTGGTTTTGTCCTGCAACAGTTCCAGATACGCTTAGCCATTCATGGTTGTTTCAGGGTTCAGGAAATATGAACTAAATTATCTGGCAGAGGCTGTTTCAGAGTTTGTATGGAATACTTTTAATCTAATCTCTTTTCTGGAGGCTGACGCAGAACAAATTTCTGCAGTGTAAATTCATTAGGTAGTATATCATTAGGTAGTATATCATTAGGTAGTATATCATTAGGTAGTATATCATTAGGTAGTATATCACTTACCCATTGTTCCTCTGTTCAATGTTCATGCCTTTTGGTGAATGCTAGGTGCTTTTTTTCATTCTTAGTTTTTGGAAGGTTTGAATGATCTTAGTTAAAATTCATTTACAAATCTGTGAAAAGCAGTCACACGACTTACATCTGCATTCCTGAGAAACAAAGCAGCTTCTGATCATTTGTATGAACTTGCTGGAGATCGTGAAACGATGAATCTAATAATACAATCATCTCTCTAGGAGTTGTTTTTCTTTGAACGTTTACTTTTCCTTCGATCAGAATAAGAATTATCAATTTCGTATTGGTAATAGCATTGTAAACTGTCATCTTATTACAAAACCCCATTTGAAGCAACGCTCTGATCAACGCAGAAATTGAACATTTTGGGCCTATTTTTAACGTATAAAATCTTGCTAATCTTTAGATCAACTTGACAGCTTTTAAACACGCCAAATTTGAGGCTTATGGAATATTATAACTGCAGCGTGTTTAAAGTAGATTATGCAATATCCTGTAAGAAAAATGTTAATTTTATCCAGATGGTCTTGAACCTTTGGCCAAGGTTCTAATTAAAGAAACTATCCGAAGATGATGATCTATTCAAAAAATTCAGAAGCTCCAATGATGAAACTTGCAGATGTAGTCCACTGGTAACAGTATTATCAACTGAAATCGTTAAAAGATTCTTCTGGGATCAACTACTTCAAAAATTTCGTACTAAAGCCTTTCGAATAAATCGTTGAAATTTATCAGTCATACCAACTTTGTAACACACTATAGCGCACTATAATTATTTCTTTGAATTAATCTTTCTTGCATCTTAACTTTTAATGGTCATTATTGAAATTCACAGCTCGTTAAGTAATACTCATTGTCCAGAAATAAAGAATAAGGCTTCGAGATTGGAACTCACACACTTTATTTTTATGAGCTTTCTTTTCCATGATGGCACCCTTATAAATTGTGTTAGGAAGGCTTTTGCCAAAAGGTGCTGCTCAAGTTAACCACTTTTCTTACTTCTCCGATCACTAATACGCAGCCATGTTAATGGTTAATTTTCAAATTATTTTAGATGGAGCATTTTCTTTGTATCTTTATTGATTATTATAATAATAATAAATAAAGATAAATACAAAAATAAATAAATAAATAAAAGAATGAAAGAAATAGTAATGCTTTTCCAAAAACTTTAATGAGAAGGAAGGTCAGGAACTAAAATTAAAATTCAAACATTATTCTTTTCGTGCTGAATTTATTTTTTAATTGTAAATATATGTGTATAATGTTTCCCCTTTTTCAAGTATTTCAAATTTTAAGGTTAAAATTTATATTGTTTCCTTTTGAATATACAGGGTGCGATGGATATATTGTCATCTAAATTACTCAAAAATGAAAATAACACTGACATCTCAATTTAACAGATATATTTACCAAAATTAAACAAAAATATCTTGAAATATTAAAGAGTAAATTTATTTAATAAAATGGTCATTGGCTTCAAATACGCCCTCCACACGACTTCGAAATCTTCTGCATCTCTTCTGGGTGGTCTCTTTGTTAAAGTTGGTGAATACTTCCATAATCCTTGACATCAGTTCATTTTTGGTATTACAAAGTGTTTTTTGGTCTCTCGTACAACTGCGCCCCATACATAATAATCAAGAGGATTGCAGTCTTAGGAGTTAGGTTACCAGAGTTAAAGGGTGTTGTGGTCGCAAAAATTGTCTGGTAACAATGGTTGGGTTCTCCTACTTGTGTAGCATGGTGCAGAATCCTGTTGATAGACATAAGGTCTTCCAGCAGCCACCTTTGTGATCCAGGGCAGCAATACTTCCTCAAGGTACTTGATGTAGGCTCCTCTGTTGAGTGAGGTACCTACTAACAAATTCTGGAGTTCTTTTCTTAGAACGATCAGAATGAGTTTTCCGAGCTGCTGTAACTTCATAATCGCCATTAGACTCATCCAACTCTTTCCGAATCCTCTGCCTTGTCCTCAGATTGCTACCAAAGCACTATGAAATGTTCGTATTGGAACTACCAGCGCGAACGCCAAGCAGTACAGCATACAATTGCCAAATTTCTGGAGGAATAAATTGCGTCATAATGCTCTTTTTCTCACAGACGGTGCCCAGCTGACCCTACTATACACGGTTGCGCGAAATTAAAAATATAAAATGACGAAAGTTTACCCATGGCTACTTGTTTATGTGTTTGTATATATATATATATATATATATATATATATATATATACGTCGCTATTTTGAACATTTTCGGATCGCCACATTTTCGCAAAATTAAAATGTTTAGCCAATATTTTAGATTATTTTAAAAAATATAAAAAATATAAAATGGCGACAATTTACCGATTGCACCCTGTATATTGCAGGGAGATAAATCAATGTAGCCCTGCTTTTATACCGAATGATTTAATCGTGAGCAGTTTAGTGAAGAAATTAGAAAGACATATGAGAGAGGGAGGGAAAGAGATGAGGAAATGTAGAGAGAAAAGGAGAAGGAGGAAAGAAAGAGGGAGGAGAAAAAGAGAGAGAGAGAGAGAGAGAAAGAATGAGTTGATGAGTTATGATACAGTCAATATGACCAGAAGTTAAAAGTAGCACTTTTTTGTTATTTGTTTCTTGTTATTTCATATATATATATATATATATATATATATATATATATATATATATATATATATATATATATATATATATGGGAAATCGACGAAATAGAAAATATATAAAACAATCTGGCAAACTTTTGTTTTTACATATTTCACAGATGTCAGACGTCATATGACGCTGATTCATCAAATGTGAGATTTTTCCATTTTGTCTTATACACTCACTGGTCACGTGAACAAATATTCTTTTTTTTTTAATCGAATTTACCCCAAGCACGGTAGTAAAGCCACTAAGACACAAGTGTTTACTGTGTGTGAAAGAATTAGAAAACAGAAAACCTTATGAAGGAGAGTGAACAATGGAAGAGTAATCAGGAAGACACGATGGAAATTGCATTTAAATTTTTGAGGATAAAGTTGGCCGGAAAGCATGGAGCCGGAAGACAGTTCCTCAAGCGAGAGGCGCGAGAAAGAAGCTGTTAGTATAGAACTTACGGCTACATTTTGCCAATTCAACTCTAAATTGACGAGACTTTGTTGCCAATCTAGTGCTGCGTTTAAATTCATAAAGTCTAGGTACCATTGCGAAGAGCTCAAACAATTACCATCAAAGTATTTATGGAAAGGCATAGGGAAGCAACTTTACAGCGGTGAGAAAATGATTGAAGCCGAGACACCAGGTCAGGA